GCGGCTCGTCCCCGCCGAGTCCTCGCGGGTGGGTGTTTTTCCTCCGGGGAAACCGAGACCGAGGCGGCGCCACCGAGCGCGCGCGGCCCCCCTCGGAAAACAATTACTCGGGATTCGCTCTGGCGACCGGGTGGGGAGGGGCGGGGAGGGCCCGAGGGGCACGGGGTTGAGTCCCCGCTCACCACCTGTGCCTTCTGTCTCCTCTCGCCCTGTGAGCCCCGGGGACTGGAGACACTTCTTGGGGTGCAGAAAGAGAGCACTGAGGTGGGGTTGCAGAAGAGGGGTCCTCCAAGCGGAGCGAGCTTACGGTCAGGGTTTGGGAAGTCTATTTGCAAACCTCGTTCTGCAGGGCAAATGCTGCCACATAGGGGTAATTCCCAGCCATCTTTTTTTCTTGGGTGACTTTCTTGATGGTCCAGTCAAAAGTCTCCTCTTCTTTCCTAGTCACATTTTGGCCTTTCTTGCAGTTCCTCCGCCCCCCTCCCCAACACCATCCTCTGAAGAGAACATCCAAGCTTTGTCTTGGACTTCTGGGCAAGAAGAGGAGAGGTCCCCCACCCTCTGTGTGACCCTTCCGGACCCTATGAAGGTCTGCAGGTTGGAAATCTCTGTCTCATTTCCTATTCGCCCCACTAGCACTCAGGAATGTTATTTATAACTGGAATGTAGAACCCTGAAGTCAGAAGTGACAGAACCTCTGGTGTATCCCAGACGAGCCCCACATGAACTAAAGCTCCCAACCAGCCCACTTCGGCTCTCCCCGCCGGAGCCCCTCCTGGGGTCACATACAGACCCAATTTGATACAACAGGGATCCCAGAGAGGGCCAAGTAAACTCAGAACAACCCTACCTCCTGCCTCATTACCTGGAACCCAATTCCAACGTTTCAGGATCCTGTTCAGTGATAAGGACCGACCCTCACTTCCTGCACGCCTCCCCCCCAGCCTTAACCCTTGCCCCCAGGATCCCCAGGAAGGCCACCAAATCAGCAGCACAGCTTATCAAGGATCAGGTTTTGCCTACATGCTCCTTTGCCCTATTTTCCTGGATATTTCTGTACGCAAGTCAGTGTCCCACTTGGCCCTGTACGTTGTGGTCCTTTGATAGATGAAAAAGAAGGTGAACTCGCAGGTAAATTGCAGCTCAAGAAATATACAGTGCCATCTAGAAGTTGAGCTGAATGAGTAGGAGGTAAACTGATTAAGGTTCAACTGGATCTCCTACTAAGATTTAACTTGGACCCAAAAGGGATCTGTCTGCCCTGACTCTGAATTTTCATTAACAGAGTCGGGATGTTTTTCCTTCCACCTGAGGCATGTTGCATTAAAATCACACACAAAACAGGATTTCTTGAGTCTGGTTGAGCCTTGTGGACAACATACACTGTGTTGTGTTGAAAGAGACATATCCCCTCCCTCCTCCACAGTCTTTAAATACATCTCAGCAGAGCAGCCTTGAGTAGCCTTGGACGGTTTTGGTCAAGGTCCTTTGCTGATCTCAGAAATCCCAAGATCCTTAAACGTCACAGTGACCCCAGTAAGGGGAAAAGGTGATCTGAGTGAGATCTTTAAGGCTCTCTGTCTTTAAAGTCTCTGTGTAATTAGCTGGTCCTGCAGGATGGGGCTTTTAGCTTGTTCCATTAAAAAATAAAGCAAGACACATGTTCTGTCATAGCTTTGCAGCATAACATCCATTAACAGTAACAAGAGTTAATCTTAACAAGGTCATAAATCTTTTCTAGATAACTAAGTATTTCAATCTCCTCCTATAAGTGCATTCCTTGAGCAGGAATCCTAAGTGTGTAAGCCCATTAGGCTAAGATAACCTTCACAGAATAGACCCAGCAAATTTCTGTAGTGACAATGAAAGGACACATGGCTAGGTATATGCTTGATGGTGATATGTGGCAGTAAGACCTGTGTTCATGCAACGAGGAGACTTGGCTTACCCAATGCCATGTCTCAAGTTCACCCTTCTGTTCAGAATGGCCTACTTCCATGGGTTCTCCAGAAGCCAGTCCCCAGCCCTTCTCTTCCAGCCACATGAATGAGTCTCAAATGTACACCTCCACCCCCAGCCTCTCTTTTGAACCCCAGGCTTATATACCCAACTGCCTACCAGGCATCTTAAATCTAATATGACCACATCATCAAAATCAAAAACATTTTCACTTCAAAAGGACACTATCAAGGAAGTGAAAAAAACAACCCACAGGATAGGAAACAATTTCTGGCAAGAAATATCTGTTTGAAACTTGCAGCTACTAAAAAACTATCACAACTAAAAAATATGAAACAATAAAAGACCCAATTTAAAAATGGGCAAAGGGTCTGAATAGACTTTTCTCCAAAGAAGATATACAAGTGGCCAATAAACACATGAAAAAATGTTAAACATCATTAGCCATCTGGAAAATGCAAATCAAAACCACAATGACATATTACTTCACACCCACTAGGGTGGCTGGAATCACCTTTTCCCCTTGCTGGGGTCACTGTGACGTTTAAGGATCTTGGGATTTCTGAGATCAGCAAAGGACCTTGACCAAAACCGTCCAAGGCTGCTCTGCTGAGATGTATTTAAAGACTGTGGAGGAGGGAGGGGATATGTCTCTTTCAACACAACACAGTGTATGTTGTCTACAAGGCTCAACCAGACTTAAGAAATCCTGTTTTGTGTGTGATTTTAATGGCTGGAATCAAAAAGACAGATGATAAATGTTGGCTGGAACATGAAAAATTGGAACTCTCATGTACTGCTTGTGAGACTGTAAAATCATTCTTCAAACAGTTACATGTAGAGTTGTCATATGATCTGACAATTCTAACCTTAAGTATTTACACAAGGTAAATGAAAACATAAGTCCATATACTAACTGGTACACAAGTGTTCAAGATATTATTCAAAATAGCCAAAAAGTAGAAACAGCCCAAATGTCCACTGACTAACGAGTGGATGAATGAAATGTGGTATATCTATACAATGGAATATTATTCAGCAATAAAGAGAAAGGAAGTACTGATACACACTACAAATGAATGAACCTTTAAAATATTATACTAGGCCAGGCGCAGTGGCTCAAGTCTGTAATCCAAGCACTTTGAGAGGCTGAGGTGAGAGGATTGCCTGAGCCCACGGGTTCAAGACCAGCCTGGGCAACTTGGCGAGACCTCATCTCTAAAATAAACCAAAAAAGTAGATGGGCGTGGTAGCACCTGCCTGTAGTTCTGGCTACTTAGAATGCTGAGGCAGAAGGATCGCCTGAGTCCAGTGGGTCGACACTGGGGTGGCTGCTGTGAGCATGTCACTGCACTCCAGCCTGGGCAACAGAGTGAGACTCCAATTTATTTTTTTTTTTAAAAATATATATATAATACTAAAAAAAAAGAAAATATTATACTAAGGGAAAAACCAGTCACAAAGGATCACATATAATGTGATTTGATTTCTGCGAAACTTCCAGGATAAGCAAATGTGTGTGAACAGAATGTTTGATAAGCAGTTGCCTAGACTGAAGATTAAGGAGGGAGGATTCAGGGGAGAGGGCTAAGGAGTGTAGGGGTTATTTGGGGGGTAATGAAAATGTCCTAAAGTTAATTGTGGTGATAGATGTAAAACTCTCAGATAGTCACAATATACTAAAACCCATTGAATTGTATACTTTAAATGGGTGGATTGTATGGTGTGTGAATTACATCTCAATAAAGCTGTTTTCCAAAACTTCTTTAATGGTCATGACAAAATATTATGTTATGGCCAAGTTTTTTTATTTTTCCCTCCTTCCAAACTTGCCCCTTGCTGGCTTCTAAGGAGATGGTACGTGCCTTCCCCAAGTGCTCCAGCTACATAACCCAGAATCATTCTCAGCTCGCTTTCCCTGTGCCCCCACATCCACGCCATCAAGCTCTATCGGTACACCTTAAAGACAAATCCCAAGTCAACCACTTCTCACCAATCCTCCCCTTCCCACCTTCCTCCAGTTCATCAATACCTCTTCCTTGGGTCACAGCCATGGACTCCCAGTCGTTCTCTCAGCCTCCCTTCTTGCTCCTTATAACTCAGTCACCCCCACAGCCCCCAGCAGTCATCATCTGCTTTTTAAAACATGCATCAGATCACATTCTCTTGCTCAAAATTCCTCCTGTAAATTTCCATCATATTTTGGAAAAATCCAAGCATCTTACAAGGCCCCTGTCCTCCCTTCCTGTCTTTTTCTCTCTTTCCTCCCCCTCATTCCAGGTAAACTTTCTTGCTGTTCCTCAAACATTCTAAGTCCATACTTTCCTTGTGGTGATTTACACTTATACTTCCCTCTATCTGGAAGGTTCTTTTCATAAATATTTGTACGGTTCACTGTCTTTTTTTTTTTTTCTTTTTTAGAGTTGGGGTCTTGCTATGTTGCCCAAGCTGGTCTTGAACTCATGGTCTCAAGTGAGTTTCCTGTGTATGGTTTACTTTCAACATGAATCAAATCTTTACTCAAATGTTAACTCCTTGAAAAGACCCTATTTATTTATTTATTTGACTCTTTTTTTTTTTTTTTTGAGTTGGAGTCTCACT